ATATAAATTATATGTAACACGTTTACGTGAAAGTGGTGATGATTTATTAAGTTTATCAAAAATTGGTGATAATTCAAGTTGTTATGTAGCTGAAGGAAAAAATTGTCCAAATTGTGGTGAATTTGTTGAAAAGAATGGAGGTAAAAATTTTTTTGAAATAAGAAAAACAAAAAATTTTCATATATTATTTAAGGTTGTCCTCATATGACATGTAAATGTGGTAATGAATATTGTTGGATGTGTTTAAAACGATGGTCAACACATAATTATTCAATGTGTTTTAATATACCTGAATCATCACATGAACTTCGTTCATCAACACGAAATCGTTTACATAATAAAGCAATAAATCATCGTCGTGAACGTAATCAATTTTCATTTAATTTATTATCACAATCTGTACGAATATCAACAAATTGTTCAATAACATATAATTTAATTTTATCAACATATATTGATTTAAATACATTAGCAGAATTTCTTTATGTTTTATTACAACGACGACGTACAGATGTTAATATTCGTGCTGTTTTAAGTCGAACAGCAAAACGTTTAGAATTAGATGCATTTCAAATAAAATTACAAATTGAATGTAAACAAATTAAAATTGAATATATTGAACAAATTCGATTAAGACTTAAACGAACTGTATCAAATTTATTACATATGAAAAGAAATAATATTTTCATATAATTTTATTTTATTTTATTTTTCTTTTAATGAAACATTTGAAATTTAAATTAGTTTATATATTTTGTATAATTTATTCTTATATTGTGGCCTGTGATATGAATATATATATATATAATAAATTTTATAATGGGGTTACAAGTTTCAATAAAGTTTTAGTTTTATTTTTTGGCATCCGATGACGATAGAGAATTGTTAATTTTTCATAATGAGGAAGGGTTATTAGGATTTATCTCTGAATACCATATAATACATTGCGACTGTACTAAAAAAAAAACAGTTTTATATTTTCGAAGAGTGAGTTCTTATTCTATGCTCATCACTTGTAATAACCCAGATAGACAAGACTCCGAAAAAAATCGCATAAAATTTTGCTAGACTTACACGTTTTTACCCATTTACGCAGTAAATTTTACGGTATTCAAAAGTAGCAACATGCATTAATGCTGAAAGACCGATGACAAAAAAGCATATTTTCTTGAATGTGTTCCACTATGTTCAACAATAGCTTGTTATTCCCTGTTTTTGTAAGCAAATCAATGGGTCTCTTGAGATTGGTTAAAAAGCAAGATCTTTAGTCCGATTACTTATACTTATATGAACACATCTGTTGTGAAAATTATTATTTATAGACTACTCTAATTAAAGATGTAATATTACTAAAATGATTTTGGAGTATTGGTATTGACAGCAGGGTTCTCGATTAGGATCTCCTCCATTCCTAAATTGTCCAACCTTCTGTTAAAATTCTTAATTCTATCTGCCAGTTTTTTACAGCTTCGTTGTAACTTTGACTAGAATCTGGATTCTAAAACACTATTTGCTTTTGTCTGGTAAAAGGTGGCATAAAAATTTTTTATTCCTTCGTATGTACAAGCCTATACCAATTTCTAATATCTATTTGTTTAACTTGTTTATGTATTAATTTTCTCAAAGTTTAAATGTGATTCTATTCTATTTGCAATGTATCATAAGTTATCATTATAGTTTTTTTCTTTTCATGTTTCTAATTCTTGTATTATCATTGAAATTTTTTTCTATTGTTTATGATTATTTCTATATTATCAAGAAACTCGTCATCAATTGGATGTGAAGAAATGTTTGTTATATTATTAAATAGTCCGATCACATTAAAGATCTGTTGTTGATTTATTTGAGGATTGACTTTACTGAGAACTATGTACATTCATTTCGGCATGAATAAGATATTGTTAGAAGCAAAAAAAAAACAAGAGTGATACAATGGAAAATTAACAAAGGTTTTTAATCATCTTGTAAATGAATAAATCTTATCGTGATGATGAAAAATTCTTTCTCTTTTTCTTCGTACCGGTTGAATTTACTTGGATTACACGAATAAACAGGTTATACATCAAATCTAGGAGCATTTTATTTCATTCTTTTCTCTCTTCCATTGTGTAGACGAGTTCACATATTTTGTGTTGGTCAATATTTTCAACCAAAGATATGATTTAATAGTTTTTTTTTTTTACAATGAATTGCAAGACACTTGTACAACATACTCAAGATAACACTTTCCTATCAGAAAAGCAAATACAAATATAAATGTCATGATGGAGACAATGTATTATGAATCATCGTCTCTTTAGAATAATTCAATATACAGAGAATCGTAATTTTGAATAATCTTAATATTGTCACATTATTATGTTTAGAAGATATTTCAAGTTTGTAAAAGCTTATGTTAATGATCTAAATGGTTTATTTACATATTTTTTTATTTAGTTCTATTCTGGTAACTTTTTCATTCAATCATCTATTCTTTTAATGATAGTCTTTTTCACTCACGGTAATAATCGATTTTTTTCTTCGTAGCCTTGTCATTTCTATTCATGCATTACTTGATATGTCTATTGGCAACTTACTGCATTTTATTGTCGTATAGTCAAGTGAGAGTTGATAGATCAGCAATTCAAATGAGTGATTGATTACAAGTGAATGTTCAAGATTTTAGTACTTTCTCTACACTGTCACATAGGCAACGAGGATACATATGAGACGATCGAATGTTTAGTAGACTATGAGTAAAAATGTTAAAACAAAATCACCAAAGGATATGATCGGGTTAGAGCATAAATCTGCCAACTCTAATAAGTTTCATTTTCAATGGGTTACAACGATAAAGTATGAAATTATACACATTTCGATGAATTTATTATATTTTTGGTGAATGCAAGAAAAAAAAGATTGCGAAGGATTAAATAGCCGTAGGGGATCGGGCTATGATTTTTGATAATAACTATGTTAGTCATAATTTTTTCTTTTCTAAACATTCAATATGAAAACAAATACTGTATATTGACGTGGCTTGTTATACTCTAGAAAATGACATAATAATCATGCTCTGTCGATTAGTTTATGGAAGAATTGACAGGTACGATATCGCGCCTGTCAATTCTTTCATAAATTAATTGACAGAGCATGATTATCATGTCATTTTCTAGAGTATAACAAGTCACATCGATGTACAGTGTTAGTTTTCATATTGAATTTATAAAAGAAAAAAATTATGACTAACATAGTTATTATCAAAACTCATAGGCCAACCCCCTTCGGCTATTTAATCCTTCGCAATCTTTTTTTTCTTGCATTCACCGAAAAAAAAAAAGTAAATACACAAGAATTTGTATAATTTCATACTTTATCGTTGTAACCGATTGAAAATGAAACTTATTAGAGTTGGGAGATTTACGCTCTAATCCGATCGTATCCTTTGGTAATATTTTATTTTAATATTTTTACTACTAACACCTCTACAGTCTTAATAAAGATTCAGTCGAAAATGGTCCGAAATCTATAAAACAATCTTTATATATATATTACTTTTACAGAATGTGTAGTAATTAGATGAGTTTCTTAAAGGTAGAATAATTTTTATCGTATTTCTTCATACATTACTAAACATTTGGTTTTTGAATTGACTGTATTTCTAGAGAGAATAATTATACTCTGTAGATGTCGGTTACTTGAAGTATAATTTAAATGAAATTCAATCTTATTACCATCTTGTAATAAATGACTTATTAATTTCTGAGCTATAGAATGTTTACAGAAAGATACGATAGTTTTTATTATTTATTTCTATAAGATATTCATCATTTTTATCATAGTTAAAATAAGTACCAGTTCTCTTTTTACGTATATTTTCTGTTCGCTATTATGAAAAAGAGAAGTCACGTGACGTTTTTTTTTCCTTGAACATCTAAGTATGCAAAAAAACAAATAATAGTAAAAAGAAGACTAGCACTTCATCTTTTACTATAAGTTCTGTTTTTATTATTTTTTTTTTTTTTTAAATAATGAAATTTCCAAAACTATATATAGAAGTATATTTGCTTGTCGAGAAGTATAGAACTTGACTTTTCCTTCTTGGTGGAAACTATACTTAGATCTACAGTGTTACACATCTCTTATAAGACAGATATCGAATATTCTTGGTTCGTACGATGAAGTTTATGAAATTTTTTTTGTATCAACAAAATTAAACTATTTCATTTACAAATCAGTTAAGAGTCTGTTTTTTTTTTGAGTTGTTGCCAAAAATCATAAAAAAAAAACATTTTATTATAATAAATTTTTGTTATTTTTATTTGCAATGTTAAATAAAGAAGAAAAAAAAAACATCCCTTCGTTTTGTATGATGTCTATCATTAAAAATTATTTTTTTAATATCGCCACAAACTATTAAGAAGCTTAATAAAAATCAACACAATAGAAGATGTATGTTTATGTAAATTCAATGGATCCTTACTCATTTTAATGTGCAACTGTTTAGAAAAAAAAAAAAAAGAATAACGAATTCTACTGTATCCATTTTCTTTTCTAACAATTTGACTTTATCATATGCCAATATTTAATTTGTCTGTCGTTCTTTTTTTAAGTATTTCAAAAGTCCTATATTTAGAATATGAAAGTAAATTTGCTTTTTTTCAATGATCTAAACAAAATATTAATAAATTACATTTTCTACTTCTGTTGACATTATAACAATATTCGAATAATCGGAAGAAAAGTAAAAAAAAACAAAAACATAATATGTCCTTGTTTTTATACGTTATCTCAGTTGACATAAATAACATATTTTATTTTCTTCAAAATTTCTATCTATGGATTATATTATACATTGTGTTGATAGGTATTATTTCAAGTGATTATTTAAATAGTTAAGAAAATATTGTATGATGATGAAAACTTTCAATTAAAATAAATATTAAACGATGCAATTTATGTTTTATTGTTACTTACATTTCTATGTATTGAATATTAGGAAAATGTTGAAAAAAAAATATATGAAATATTTCTTTAAATCAATATGTATTATATTTATTTTTTTATGGTTTTTAATTATATCATCTTTTATTTTATCTGATAAACCAACAGATTGCTCAACATCATCTGTTGGCTATTTTCCTTCATCAGTTCGAATCCCTGCCAGTGTTTATAATTTATCCCAATTAATTGTAAAGAATAATATCAATGTACCAGTAATTCCAACTGAAATATTTGATCCAAATTTAAATGTCTTAAGTGTACGTGTAAGTCGATTACGTTCAAGTGGTTCAGCAACATTCATTATTACAAAAGAAAAAGAAATATTAAATTTAGATTTTTGGTGTTTATTTGATGATCAATCAATAACTCCAGTATATACAATTAATGTTGAAAAATCTAAAAAATCGATTTCTTTTTTCGAATGTTCACTTCCAGATTCAATAATTCAACGTTTATGGTATAATCGAATAATAGATCAAGAAATAAAAATTTATCTTTCTACAACAAAAAAAATTCTTTTTCAAGGTTTTCTTGATCTTCCATGGTCAAATTGGATAGAACAAAATGAACAATCATTAACACTATGTACTCTTTCATTATATTATGATTTAACATATTTTACTCAATGGATTGAATATCATCGTTTAGTTGGTATTAGTAAATTTGTTATTTATAATATTTCAAATATGAATAATCAATTTTATTCTATAATTAATTTTTATGATGAAGAATATCCTAGTTTAATTGATATTATTCAATGGAATAATTCTATTGATGAAATTCAATATGATTGTTTTTTACATTATGGAGATATTTCTGAATGGATAACAATTATTAATATAAATGAATATTTAATTCCACAAATTCCTTATGATACTCTTCCAAAATTATTAACGGAACAATATGGTAGAAATTTACAAACTGTCGTTATATTAGAAAATCAAGAATTTTGTTCTAATATTGAATATCAAGTTACAAAAAATGAAATCATAATCGAACATTATACTTCACGACATACAATTTCAAATTATTCAGTCAAATATTTGTATCAACCTCGTACTATTAACTATTTATCAATCCATCGAGATAATATAGAAACAAAATCCTATGATCAAATAAAGAAAACCATCATACTTGCGCAATATCCAATCATAGAACATGACAAAACATTTTTAAATTGTGTATTGGATAGATTTGTGATAGACACAACGATCCGAGATCGATTTGCTAAACGTTTATTTGATGAAATCGATAAATAGTAATCCTTATGAATGTTATGTATACAAAACAAATAGTTCTATGGATTATTTATTCAAACAAACCAATAGTGACATCTAAGTGAACAATATTAATGTTGAAATAGATTTTTTTTCTCTCTTTCTCGATATATAATTTATAAAAATAAATTTTATTTTTTAATAAAAAAATTTTTTGTAAATTATAAATGCGCTATTTATAAAATAGGTTAATGAAAGTTTCGTTCAATACGATATATTTTGACTATACACAAATATCATTATTGGTTGTTAAACCATATTTTTGTAACAAAATAAACTTATGACAAATGAACAGTAAGAGATGTTATTTGATTTTATCTATAATATTCAACTAAATAATGCATGTTTCTTGATTTTGATTAATCAGAAGAAAAATTTTTATGACTTTTTCTAAATAAAAATAAAATTAATTTTCATATCGATTCTATCTACTGATTTCAATATAAACTGTCCTATGAGAGATATATCCAAGTCATAAATGAACTTTCATAAAATTATTAAACGATGAGATTTGAAAGTTTTTTTGAAATTATTGATGATAGTATGTCATTAACATCGATTAAAATAACCGACAAAGTTGATTTAAAAAATTTTATTAATATAATTATACGAATAAAAGATTCAACACAGGAAGTGAAAGAGAACACGACATGTTCCGAAGCTTCAATAAAATGCAAAGAAAAAAAACCAATTCAATATGCATGCATCTCAATCATAATTATCATTATAATAAAATAACTATTGAGTACTAGTTTTTCATTCCTTTTTTTTTTAAACATAATTAAACAACACGTCATATATATTATTAATCTATTAAGTCATGGGAATAAAAACTTCCTTATATCATGAAGTCATATTTTACTCACGCTACTACCTTCTACTTTTTTTATATCTTTGATAGCAAAAGGCTTTTTTTTCGCACTTGCTGTTACGTGTATTCATAGTCAACAACGATAAAAGGACGAACAACATTATACTTGTTTTATTACTCATTTAGGTAAAGGTAACGTAGATGATTTCATCCTTGCCTTGTTTTTTTCGTTTGTTATTCTATTACGTTTGATTTCGTATCTACTATTCACGGTCAAATGCTGCAATTAGACAATCGTGCATTTTCAACTATCAGTTTGAATACCGGTAATGATCAGAATCAAGAAGAAGAACACGAATCAGGTATGTTTGCTGTACACTTGCCACCACGAATCAATCAAGGAGCAGTAGCAACCGATCAATATCATCACAATGAAACTATATGGAGAGTAATTCTTGATGTAATTAGTCTTATAATATGTAAATGTTAGTTCTTTTTTAAAATTTTAAATTCAAGGATTTTGTTTTTTAGTACTTGTTATAACGATTATTTCACATTATGTTGCGAAACCATTTACACGTGGTTTCTTCTGTTCGGATGCATCAATACAGTATCCACATAAGGATAATACAATACCAACTTATGCTGCTGTTATTTTATCAATTGGTCTTCCAATTCTTTGGGTAAGTTATATATATATTTAAGATGATGGAAAAAAAATTTAACAACAACATATTTTGGATTTTAAGATTTCATAGATGTCAAGGTTTCTAGAAAAAAAAAATCAGACATGGTAGTTTTCAAGTTTTACACGACTTTATCAGAGATATTGTTTTTAACAATACCATTTTAAAGATCACAAAATGAGAAATCACTGCATTTTCTACGACCTTCCACTGGAAAGTTAAAAGTATTATAAAAACTCGACTAAAAGCGTTTTTTTTTTGGATTCTCGTGATACTTTTAGCTTTTTCAAGGAAGATCGTAGAAACTTCGATGACTCCTCATTTTGTGATCTTCAAAATGGCGTTGTTAAGAAAATAACTCCAACGGAATCTTCTGGAAAATGAAAACTACCGTATCCAATTTTTTAGAAATCTTACCATTTATGAAATGTATTAAATAGAAAACTCCATTGATTATTAAAGTCACTATCCAGATTTGAGTTAACTGTATAATATTATATAAAAAAAAAGCTGTTAGCATAATCTCTGTGGGATTAAAATATGAAATACGATGCAGCTAATGTTGTTCATCAGAGGGAGATTGCTTTATTCTGTCTACCTTGGGACATATGTCTTCACCTTTTCTTTTTACTTAATCCTTCAGGAATACAATAAGGAAGTTGTTTATATATTATAACGAGTCGTTATTGATATACGGTCTGTAGAGAAGAGAAGTGTGAGTGTCTACTCTATATATCTCTTTTAAATGTTGTCTCACAAAAAAAAATTGAAAATATGTTGCTATTAAACTTTTTTCCATCGCCTTATAATAAATCAAAACATCAAGAGTTTGTTTTATATATATATATATATATGATTTTAGATGTGGATTACAGAATTTTGTAAACGAGCTTATTTTAATTGGTATGCAGAACAAGCATTTATAACTCGTTTAGAATTATGTGGAAACCGAGTAGCATACATCTCTCCATTTGTTCGTAATTTATATATGCTTACAGGTCAGTAAATATATATATATATATATACCGGGTGTACCAAAAGTTTTGCGACATTTGATATTTTTCATATATCTCAGTTCAGAAAAAAGATAAAATCTTGAATTTAGTTTTGAAAGATGCGCAATTCAATTCTCTATAAAAATGTATTTACCTTAATTTAAAATAATAGAACTGAAAGTTTTTATGGGCTGGATAGTGTGCTCATATGAATTGCATTTATGTCTCACACTTTTTTTTTCTGTGAGAAGAAATATTTTGCTTTTATAAATAACAGTCTATCAGAAAGCGCTTGAAAGATCCGATCGATTGATGATATATTTAACATTCATTCTTTGAATTATTTTGCAAAGTAGTAGTTCAAAAATCGTAAAAGACTCTCTCTCTCTCGATTACTCCTTTCCGGAAAAGTCTGTTAAGAATATGATCTACAGTGAAACCGTGTTCACTTTTGCAGTATTTTTCAAGAAATAGACTGCTCTTTCTACTTGAAACTCAAAAAACATTTGACGAAACCATTCAGTTTCACGAGAACTCCGAACATCGCCTAGAATATTGTTTTTACAGCAGCATATCAAACAGACCATCTTTATTACATCGAAACAAATTATAATCGAACACAGAGAAATTATTCTAAAAGAGCAGTGATATGTAATCGTATTGCCAATAATTAGGTTTTTAAGCATCTGTTTATAAGAAGAGAAAGTCACGAAACATGAAGTAAAAACAGCAGTGGGATATAGAAGCAATTCATATAAGTACACTATCCGATCCATAAAAACTTTCAGTTCTATTATTTTAGATTAAGGTAAATACATTTTTGTCGAGAATTGAATTGCACATCATTCAAAACTAAATTCAAGATTTTATCTTTTTTCTGAACTGAGATATATGAAAAACATCAAATGTCGCAAAACTTTTGGTACACTCGATATATATACAGTAGAGTGCAAAAAAAATTGCCGTTTAGTGTATTCACTTTCTTTAAAACTGTTTCGTACGTTCTTCGAGCGATTTTTCTCGAGTTATGTGCAAGTATTAGGTACTGCCTTGGCGCATTCAATGAGACGGCAATTGCTCGAAAACTGTTATGCATTTGCCCAAAAATGACTTATCATTCAAGCATTACGTGCATCTGATCTGACCAATAAATCATATTACAT